TGTGAGGTTTTGTGGGCTCCCCGCCAGCAGCCAGTGTGTAGGGAGCAGCCTGTGGCTGCTGTGGGGGGAGGGTCCCCTGATGATTGCTTTGCTCTCTCCTGGGCAGATCTGTATCTTTGTCGGGGAGACACTGCTGTTTTCCAACTGGGCCATCACCGCCGACATCCTCATGGTGAGCCAGGCAGGCCGAGGTCACCTTGTACAGCTGACCCAGGCCTCGACCTCACAGGGGCGGCTGGGAAGGGCGGGTGAAGGGGCGGGAGAGCTGTTGGGGGTGGGTGGGAAGGCAGGCCTGCCAGGACGGTGAAGCCAGCGGCAGGGAGGGGATCAGAGTTTGGGGTCTGCGTCTGGACAGGGCCAGGAAGCAGAGGGCTGGGTGGGCAGAGCGAGATGTGGGGACTGGGTGGGGAGGGGTGTCTCGAGGCTCAGGTTAGTGTCTGGGAGGCTGGCAGTGCCAGGCTGGCACCGAGGTACCGCTGCCTGCCAGCACTCCTCCCCCCGGGTCTGAGTGTTCATGGGCTCTGCCCCTCCTTGCTCAGCCTGGCTCCCAGGCGCGCCTGCCCGAGTGCCTGTGGCTGGGGCTGGCGGACAGAGGCCGTCTTCACGGGGCCAACAATGGGCTCCAGACCAGCCAGCCGGGGACAAAGGGCTGTCTGAGCGGCCAGCAGGGGCTTGTGTCCCTGGGTGGGGATGGGAGCACCCTGGGAGGAGCCAGGAGGGGCTAGGAACTCGTGGCCGTCTGGGGGTGGCAGGGGTGTGACACTTGGTCCCGTGCCCAGGGATCAGCCTGGCCAGGGTCGGCAGGGGACAGGGGAGTGTGTCTGGGAGGTGTCAGGGCAGGCTCTGGGGCAGACGGAGGAAGGACTCATGGGTGGACCTTCAGGGTGCTCAGGGTCGGGTGCCCAGTGTGGGATAGCCCAGGAGATGAGTGTGCCAGGCACCGCGGCCCTGCTGGCTTCTGTGCTTTGGGAAGCCTGCCTTGCCCACCCCGAGCCTCCTGGTGAATCCACTTTCCCTGGGCTGTCTCTCTGTCCCCCTGAGTCCATGGGCTGGGGTGGTGGTGGGAAGGTCTGATGCGGCTTTGAGCCTCAGCACGGAGCCAGGCAGTGGCAGGGGTGGGCTGGGGTCGCTGCCCAGGCCCAGCGTGAAGGGAGGAGTGAGTCTGTGCAGATCAAGTTACCTTGGTGCTGGCCAGGACCCCTCCTCCCCTGCCTCCACCACCCCCGGGGGAGCCCCTGACGGCTGCCGGCAGGGTCAGGGTCCCCGGGAAATTGTGTCCCAGTTTATTCCGTGTCAGTGGCTGGAAACGAGGCCACTCCGTTTAACCAGATTCAGGCCTTTTTCCACCCGCCCCCACCTCTCCTGCAATGGGGTGCCCATGGGTGCTGGCTGCTGATGCCCACTAAGGCTGGCACTCCAAAGAGGTGAGGCAGCTGGAGCTCAGGGCACAGGGGCTTGGGGCACCCACAGAGCTGGCCATGCCTGTCCCGCCCCCCGCCCCAGCCCCTCCTGACTCTGGCCTGCCCCGCTTTGAAGCACGCCTCCTGTGGCTCGGGCCTGCTTGGACTGATGGGGCCTAGGGCCCAGCAATACCTGGCATTCAGTGCTGAGGTGCCCACGGGTGTGAGCAGAGGCTCTTCCAGGCAGGGGCCTGCCTCACCAGCTCCCATCCCAGGTGTCAGGGAGGGGAACCAAGATGGGTCTTTAGCTTGATGGGAGTGAGGACAAATGGTCCCAGCTGGGGTTCGGGTTCCCCTGGAACATGTGCCTCTCTGGGCCTCAGTGTGTCCGTGACTATGGGCCAAGGGCAGAAGCCACGACAGCCTGGTCTCAGGAACGGAGCAAGAGCCGAGCAGGGGAGGTGGCGGTGTGGCCGCTCTCGACGGCTCGGAGGGCTCTGGGCTAATGGCCTCTGGTGACTGGCACCTGGGCAGCCCCCAAATTACTTTCCCTTGGCTGCAAGTAGCTGAGAGGAAGGTGAAGATTCCCATTTCTGAGGGGCATCCCGGGGGCACAGCAGGTTTGAGGGCAATGACGCTTTCGGTCTGGGGCAGGTGGCACTGGTCTGGGCTGGAGGTGGGGAAGCCCCTGGGGCTGCGGGGGTGACTGAAGCTGTGTGTGGGTGGAGGGGCTCAGGGAGGAGAGGGGTGGCTGGCGGGGAGGAGGGCAGGGTCCAGGGGGGAGAGGAGGGAGTCTGAGGGTGTGGGGCTTCGGAGGTGCCAGGCCCGGGGTTGGGGCTGGCTCCTCGCCGACCTGCCCGCCTCTCCCGCAGTACGTGGTCATCCCCACCCGGCGCGCCACGGCCGTGGCCTTGCAGAGCTTCACCTCCCACCTGCTGGGGGACGCCGGGAGCCCCTACCTCATTGGCTTTGTGAGTTGCCCTAGGAGGGGGTTGGCCTGGGGAGGCTGAGGGCTCCGGGGGCTGTGCCCTGACACCCGCCCCCACATCCTCGCAGATCTCAGACCTGATCCGCCAGAGCACCAAGGACTCCCCGCTCTGGGAGTTCCTGAGCCTGGGCTACGCGCTCATGCTCTGCCCCTTCGTCGTGGTCCTGGGGGGCATGTTCTTCCTCGCCACGGCGCTCTTCTTCCTCAGCGACCGTGCCAAGGCTGAGCAGCAGTGAGTGGGGCTGAGGGGAGGCTGCTGGGGAGCCCTGCTCGGGGGTGGCGGAGGGGAGACCTGGGTGCACCCAGTGTGTGGCCTGGTGGCTGGGGTCCAGTCCCTGGGCCTCCCCGTGCCTGTGGATCTCAGCGCCAGCATCGGCCTGGAGCTGTGGGGGCCACGGGGGTGTCCGGTGGGTCCAGGCTTGGACTTGGTGGTTTTCGAGGCTGGGACCCCTCCCCCTTCCCTTTCCTCTCACCTTCTGACTTCTTTCTTCTTTCCTCTTCACTCCTCTCTCTCTCCTCTCCCCACCCCTGGGCTCTCCCACCTCCCCCTGGGGCTGACGAGGTCCCTGCCCAGCACCTCCGGTCAGCTGGCCCCCACGACGCGATGTGCCAGAGCAGTGCCCGGGCCCGGCCCCTGCTGACGCGCCACCCTGACCCCCGCCCGTCTCTCCCCCAGGGTGAACCAGCTGGTGATGCCGCCCGCATCTGTGAAAGTCTGAGGTGGTGAGTGCAGGCAGGGAGGCCCTCGGGAAGGGGGAAGGCCAGGGCTAGGTGACAGGGAGCACTCTTCCTCTGGAGTCCCCTTCCTGCCCCAGCACCTCCCACCAACCCTGGGCTTGGACTCTGATGGTGCCAGAATTCACTGATGGAACCATGGGTCAGGGCTCCCGCTTCCAGTAAATAGCTCCCCCTTCCTTCCTTCCAAGGGCTGGGTGGGGCCTGGCCAGAACTCCCCACTCTATCCGGACTTCCGCCCTCCCGGGTCCTCCTGGATGTACCAGGGCCTGGCTCCTCGGACCTTCCCTGTGGGAGCTAGAGCTTCCCAGCAGCACGAGAACCAGGCTCACAGCCCCAAGCCCAGGGGGAGGCCTGCTGCTCCAATGGCAAGTGGAGGAGGGAGGGCAGCCTGGCAGGGGGCCCCACTGAGCCCCGTTTCTGACCTGATGCCCCTTTCCCCAGGTGCCACTGGGACAATGAAGAACCCACACTCCCACCTAGTCTGGAAGGTGTCCTACAGCGTCTGGGACCGCCTGGGCTGCCCACCGGCCTTCTGTGTGATCCACGGCTAGGCGACTACCTGCTCTGGCCAGGGCCTGCTGAGTGGCCCTGGCTTCAGGAAGAGGCGATGTCCTCAGTCACCCTGGAAGGCTGTGTGCGTTGGAGCCGCGAGATTGGACAGATTCCTGGCCCTAGGTTTGGGCTGCCAGGCCCCTGGGGCCAAGGAAGAAGGCAGCCCAAAGTGGGTGTCCGGCGAGAGCCTGGCCTGCCACCAGCCTATGTGATCCTGGGCAAGTCCCTGCCCTCCCTGGAACGAAGGGCCAGGGGGCTGGACTTTCCCAGGCAACTTGCTGGGCAAAGCACCATCCGCAGTTTTGAAGACTCACCAGGCCCTGGGCCATACGGAGTGGGAACGGCCCAGGCCTTGGGGCGGCAGTCCCAGCTTTGAGGCCCAGGCAAGGGCCGGCATTCAGGACCACTGCTTCTCAGCTGGCCTCTGACCTTGGGGACATCGGACTCAACCTGGCAGATGAAGCTGGGCACCCCCTGGCCGGGCCGGTCTCTCTGGAGACCACTGTCTCACTATCTCGGGTTGGCTGCTGGCCTGGAGGTCCCAGGCGGGGACTGTTCTGATAAGCTGGCATCACCAGGGGTGAAGGCCCTGGCTGCAGCGGCACACCTCCTGGGCCCCAGGCCCGTGGTCTCGGGGGTTCACACACCAGCCCACCTCTGCAGGGCTCCTGGTGGCCCCAGGAATATTTCTGCTGTCTAGCCCTTCCCTGCCACCACCCCCAGCCAGGAACCCACTCCCTCCAGAGGCTGGGCTGAGCCTTGGCCAGGGCCAGGGCCAGGGCCCAGACCATTCCTAGAATCCACGGGGCAGCCACCAGGGCTCCTCTGCTGGAGGAAGCAGCTCTCCACAAAGCTTCCTGCATGGGCTGAGGAGCTGGGAGAGGCCCGCCCCTATCACACAAATGACCCCCGGGGCCAGGCCTTCACCCTGGCTTTGATCACCCCACTCACGCCTGTGCGCACACCAGGGTGCAGCTGCCAACGTCACACCAGCCCCAAACCCCTTTGGGGGAGCTTAGCTCCTGTGTCACACACTCCCTGCACATGTGCTGCCATCAAGGTGGTGCTGGTGTGGGGGGCCCCAGTGGCCAGCAGGAGACCCCGAGAGCTGGCTTGGACAATGCTCTTCCCCCCTAGTTACTGGCTGGCTGTAGCTTCAGTGGGTGTAAGCTAATGGAATACCCACCCACCAAGCTCTGGGGTACCCGGGGAGGCCTGATGAGGGTGGGGTGGGGGTGGTACCCCCGAAGCCTGGCCTCCACCCCAGCCTCAGCCGGGGCCCCAGCGATGTTTTCTTGTTGTACAAGAACCAGGTCCAAGTGTTGCCTCCTCTTCCTTCCGGAAGCCAAACTGCTCCTTTATTTTTTAGAGCTGCTGATTGATTGTGAATCTCAGAGTCTTAAGAGAGAAGCCAAATATATTCCTCTTGTAAATGAAAAAATAAACCTATTTAAATCACCCCCTGTGGCTCCCTTAGCAAAAAAGCCTGGGGGGGGGGATGCGAGTGACGGTCACACCTGTACCCAGCCTGCAGCCAGCATGTCGCCCTGTACCCACCCAGGCGAACCCCAGAGCCCTGGACCTGGCCCACAGGGCCCTGAAGCCACACTTCCAGTCTAGAACCCCCCAGGGTGGGGGGGGAGTCTCTGCATCCTGGGACCCCTGCAGGAACGGCTTGGGCTGTGCTTACCAAAGCAGGATGCCTGGGCAGGCAGTGACACCCTCCCTGGGGACAGAGCCTTAGAAGTGGCTTGCATATTCAAAATCATGGTGGAAAAACAGGAGTCTTGGGCAGATGGAGGCTGAGGGTGGCCTGCACTCAGGGCTTCCCCGCCTTCCTCAGCTGCGTTTTCTTCTTCTTGGTTCCACTCTGGAGCAGGCTGGGGCTCCTGCTAACCAAAGGCGGCCTTGCCTTTTTCCGTGCCAGTGTGGATGGTGGCGATTTGTCCAAGACCCCCTTTTTGGGAGGAGCCTCGTGGTGCTTCTTTTGGCCTGCAGGTTTCGTCGGGGAGCCGGGAGCTCCATTCACCTGGGACAGCTTCTGGTTTTTCTTCTGCAGTTTTGGGGACTTGGCAGGGGGGCTGGGGCTCAGGGTGGGGGTGCCAGGGGCTGGGCCCTTGGTGGAAGGCATCCCGTTGGCCCGGGCCGGGCCCTTGGCCTTTGTCCTGTTCCTCTTCCTGCCCGTACTGGGGGGCTGGCTCCCCCCGGTGGCTGCGGGCGTGCCGTCCTGAGACGTGTGTTTCTTGCGCTTCTTTGTCTCTGGCAAGAATCCCTTTTTCTTCCGCTTCCTGCTGATGGGGCTCTGGGTGGCGCTGGGAATCTCCTTGGCATCCTTCTCCAACTTGGGGCGCCTGAAAGGGAGTGAGCAGGTAAGAAGGTGCCAGTGAGGATGGCAGCCACCTCCACCCGGGTCCCACGGGGCCCCAGGGGCCGAGGGCTCCCACATCTGAGTGTGTGCAGCAGTGTGAGGGCGATCCAAGCCCCGCCCAAGTGTGCGTCCCCCGCCGAGAACCTACTGGACTCCCAGGGTTTTCATGGCCTGCCAGTAGAGGTCGAGCAGGCGGCTGGAGCCGGTGCAGTGCGCCCCCTGCCGCAGGCCCTGCTGCTGCCCCTGCAGCACGCCTAGGAGCACCGTCAGGTCCAAGGTCAGCTTCTGCAGAGGGTGGGAAGGCAGAGCGGTGGTGGCCGCAGCGGGCAGGCCTCTCTGGGGTTCCCGGTATTCTTGCCACCTTGGCCCCGTTGCTGTCTTGCCAGTGACCCCTCCACTCTCCTGGGCCTCAGCCTCTCCTTCTGCCTGTTAAGGTGTCCGTGTCTCTCTCACCGTTAGAGGAAACATGTGCCCAGGTGTTGGTTTTCCTCCTCCCCACAGCCAGAGGCCTGGTCTCAGAGCCTCCACCATGGCCCTAGCAAGCCCACCTCCAGGAGGGCCATCCCCGCCACTCCATCACTGTGGGGCTGCCCACACCCTTCCCCCCAGCCTCCCTGCACGCCCTGAATGGGTTACTGTTGGAATCTGCTGGCTTCCAGTAGCCCCGCTCTCCTGGCTTCCTCACCATCACCCAGTTTTGCAAGGCCCCATCCCCGGCCCCACCTCTGCCCGCTGGCGCAGCCTTGGCAGGCTCTCCCTCCGTAAGGGCTGACTGGCACCTATGCTGAGGCCTCCCAAACCTTGCCCTCTGGGCCAGACTGGGGGACCAAGATGGCCACCTACAGCTGCCTCCCGGCCCTGCCCTGTGGCTACCCAACATGTCACAGTCCACCTGCCCACACCCTGCACCAGCCTGGAAACATGGCCTCCTTAATGTATGTCCACCGAGTCTTCTCCCACCCTTCCACTGTCTCCAGCCCTGCCAACCCCTTCTCAGCCTTCTCACTGACATGGCAGCGCCACACCCTGCAGGACAGGGTGGCACAGTCCCTTTCCTAGTCACTCGCCCATCCACGGCTCTGTAGCTGCACAATGACAGCCCAGAGCCCTGACCAAGGCACTGAGAACCTTCCCCACATGACCCCCGCCCCCAAGGTCCGGCCTGGGTAATGGCACTGCTGCCCGGGAGGCCCCGAGGCCCCCAGGAGGAACCTGACACTGCCCCGGGCTGGGCCCCGCCTCACCTCGTGTTTGCAGGTCCTGAAGACAGTATTGAGCAGCTCCAGGGAGGACAGCGCCTGCTGGTGCTCCGCCTTGGTCTGCGCCTCCCCCAGTGTGCGCAGGTTCTGGGGAGGGGTGGTTGGGCTGAGGCACTCCGGAGAGATGTCAAAGCCTTTGTTTCCCAGCAGAGACTAAAGCCCAGAGGCAGGGACCATCTCCTGGGACAATCCCAATTCCCTGTCCCACACTCCAGGAGGCTCAGGCTCCAATCCTGGCTTGTCCTCTCCCAGAGAACCCATCCCGAGCAGGCAGGGAGGAAGGGCGCCCCCTAGCTGTTACCTCCGTGACCTTTGTCAGGACCTGGCCGATCAGCTGCTTCCACTCGGGGTCCTGGAAGCACGACCTCACCTCCCGCATGGACAGGGTCTTCTGTAGCAGCAGGCAGGCCTGGGCCTGTGGTTGGGTGAAGGTGGGTGCCTGGAGCCTCAGCACATCGGGTGCAAGAGACTGACGGGGGCGAGGGGGCCTGCTAGGCATGGCTGTGGGCGGCATGTGAGGCCACCTTCTGCTCTGGGCTCCGTGACCACCTGCTCGCATGCCTTCATGTACAGGTGGGGGCACCGAGGCCTCCCAGCTGGATAGAGGTGGGACCTCAGGTGGGACAATTCCTACCCATTCCTGGCTAATGCCATCTTCATTCAGTTTGCCCCCAGGAGCCCTGGCACCTGAGCAGACACTACCGGGGTGTCCTCTGTGTGGCCAGATGGGCAGCAGTGGCTGCAGGAGTGAGGCTGGCCCCGCCCCCTCAGTGCCTCTGTGCTCACGGTGTGGCAGGGACGGTTGCCCGTGTTCACCAGAGCAGTGCTCTGGGCCCTCAGAAGCGGGTTAAGCAGGTTAATTCACACAGGCCCTGGGCTGGGAGCCGGGAAGTCTCTTACCTGCTGGCGGGGCCGCCCTGGGCCTGTGATGTGCTGGACCAGGACGGGGAGCAGGCTCTTACAGAGCACCTGGCGGGGAGGGGAGGCCTGTGAGGCATGGGTGGGGCAGAGAGGGGACCCCAAGTGGGCAGGGTGGGCCCCGACACTCACGGGGTGCCGGGAGAAGAGGCTGAGGAACATGGGGACCGTGAGGGGGCTGTGGCGCTTGGTCAGGAAGGAGCTCAGTGCTGACGAGTAGACACGCATCGCGAGGTTCAAGTCCAGGCAGCCGGCAGCCTAGGCCAGGTGAGAGAGCTGGCTGAGGCCAGGAGAGGGCCGCTGGGACGGGAGCAGAGACTGGGCTAGCTTCGGACGGCGGAGGGTGGGTCCTGGGGAAGTGTGAAGTGTGTGGGCTCCGCCTAGGCCAGGCCCTGCTCACCTGCGGGCCCTCGGGCACGGGGCTGGGGTTGGTGCCAGCCTCCAGCTCCTCCTGTGTCTCATGCAAGTGCCCCTCGGCAGTGCCGCCCTTCAGGACCCGGAGCAGGTAGAGGGAGGCGTTGAAGTGGTAGAGGGCGGTGGAGGAGTCGGGCTGGCGGCCAGCCTGCTCCACCAGCCGCGCCACCTGGCCATGCAGGGCCTCAACGCGGTCACCCAAGTCGTGGCAGTAGCGACGGCCACGGCACAGGTGGTGCCTGTGGGTGGTGAGGACAAGAGCTGGTCAGAACAGACTCAGTCCACCCCGCTCTGCCAAGCAGCGCCAAGCAAGTCTCACTTTACAGGTGAGGAAACAGACCTGGAAGACAGGCGTGACCGAGGCCACAGAGGAAGGCAGGGCCTCCTGTAGTGCTTGGGAGCTATGTGGGCTCAGCGTGCTTTGGCAAAGGGGCACCCGGGGGAGAACAGAACAGCTCCCCGAGGGGGGGCTGCACCAGGGCCACCCACCCGCCTGGCGCACCTCTCTTGTCCATACTCGTCCCTCATGGGGCAGTGGCCTCCAGGCCTTTTGTAAAGTGAGGCGAGGGTTCTGTGCTCAGAACCCTGTGTGGCCCTGCAGGGCCGGGACAGAGTGGGGACGAGTGGCAGGGTGCTCAGCGAACAACACAGTCCACACACACTGGCAGAACTACCTGAGAAGGTGTGGCCTGGGGATGAGTGGAGGATGACCGCCAGCCACGCCCCCCGCCCTGCAGACCATCCGGGCAGTGCCCAGGGGCCCAGGCCTTCAAACTGCCCAGCACCTGAGCCCTGAAGGCAGGTCTGCACCTGGCTCCTGCCTGGCTCTCCCCCGCCTGCCATCCCTCCCTGCTGGGCCCTGCCTCCAGCCCAGCCCTGCCCAAAGCCTTCTCCACACCGCCAGCCATTTCCGAAAAGGGAAACCAGACCCACAGCCTTCCCCATGCCAATGCTCCTGCTGAAAATGCCTCTGTGGCCCCCAGCCCCGCTAGGGTCAGGGCCTTCGAGGGTACAGGGGCCTGTGGCCTCACGCCTCGCCTGACCGCCTCTCATCGGGACGCTCTTTCCCCTTTCTGCACTCCCCAAGGCCTCCCAACCTGACAAACTCCCAGATACACTGCACCTCTGAGGACTGGGTGGGTGTCCCCTGCCACAGGTGCTGCCACTGTCCCCACACAGCCCCACTGGAGACTGTCAAGGGCTAGGATGGACCCCAGCTCCAGGGCACCGCTCGCACGTGTCAGGAGAACACAGGGATGGACCAAGGACCGTGTGAATCGCTGAATGACACGTGACCTAGGGCTGAGCGGTGAGCCTGCAAGCTAGGGCCCAGGCTGGAAGCTTGGCTCTCTCCTTCCCGTACAGAAAGCAAGCCAGGAGTTCTGCCTGGGGGCTGGGGACTGCTGGCCGCACCCACCCGCCCTGCCCCTCGCTCACGTGAAGATGCGCGCCGTCTTGTGCAGGAGGTCCTGCTCCTGCTTGGAGCTGCTGCTGCGCAGGCTGCGCCGGATGATGCGCAGCAGCGGCTCCAGCAGCTCCAGGACCAGGACGTTCTCGGGCTGCTTGGTCACCAGCACCTCCACCAGGTCCAGCACCTGCGGCCGGGAGAGCTGGTCAGCAAGGCGGGGGTGGGGCACGGGGCGGTGATGGAGGTGGTGGGGGCGCCAGGCCCCAGGCTCACCCGAATCTGGAAGTCGCGCCGCAGCGCCTTCTCCTTCTGCAGCTTGCTCTTCTCGTCTCGCCGGGCCTGGATCCGCAGCTTCTGCTCGGCAAAGAGGCTGGCGAGGCTCTGGTCCAGGGCCATCATAGCCTCGTCCCCCAGCTCCTCCTCGTCCTCGCTCTCTTCTCCACCCTGAGGGACAGAGGCCCAGCGGTCAGCCTGGCACACAACACGGGGACTCACGAGCCCTCCCCGGCCCTGCTCACCAGCGCCTTCCCAGCCTGCAGCACACTCATCAGCTGCTCCCGGAAGCCCTGGTCCACGTCCCCGTCGCGCTCCTCCTCCTCGCTCTCCCCTCCATCGCTCTCGTCTTCACTCTCCGAGCCTCTGTTCTCCTCGCTGTCCTCGCTCTTGTCCTGTGGGGTGGGGGCAGGTGCGTCACGCACCTTCCCGATCTTCCCACTCCTGCCACCCCGCCTGGCCCGCGCCGGCAGCACCTCTGAAGCCTTCAGCCACCGCTCGTCAGACTCGTCCGTCACCACCACATGGTCATCCTCATCCTCACTGGTCTCGGGGTTCAGCACCTGGGGAGGAGACCTGGCCACTGACTCATCTGCGGGCCCCGCCCGGCCTTGGCCAAAGGTCCCCATTTCAGGGAAGAAAACAGCCTAAGAGAGGTGGCCACACCCTGCCAGGCCAGGACAGGGCCTTGCCGATACCCCTCCCACCAGGCGCAGGCTCGCAGGAGGGAGGCTGGGAGGCCACAGGCTGAAGTGCTCCCCCACACGGTGCAGCTCGCTGCTCAGTGAGCCCCAGCCCAAGGTGCATTCCCAAAGGTCCCAACTCACATCCAGAATCAGCTGTAGGGCACGTGGGGTCAGGTGGGAGCAGACGTGGCCAAACACGCTCCGGGCCACTTGACGCATGAGGTGGCTGGGCTGGGCCAGCAGGGCCAGCAGGATCTCCACCAGCACCTCTACCCATGGGGGCTCCTGGGGGTCTGCAAGGAGGGGATTGAGCCCAGGGAGGGGACTGCTGGCCTCACTGCGCCACTCCAGTCCCTCTCATGCCCAAGGACACACCCTGTCCCAGGAGCAAGGACCTACCAATGGCCTTGGTGCGGCTCCTGTGGCGCCTCTCTCCCAGGCTTTTTCTGATGCAGGTCTGGATGTCACCCAGCAGGTCACAGCTCTCTGTAGGGGACTGGGGACAGGGCAGGACACACACTGGGGACAGCCCTTCTGAGCCAGGCAAGGGGCTGGCCAAAAGGAAGTGGTGGCACCAGAAGCCTTCAACAGCCCAGCCACTGGCCCGCCCCGGCCAGCCACCCCGCAATCCAGAATGGAAGACACCAGCTGGACCCCAGAATACTGAGGGCTGAGGGCCTTTTTACACCTCATACACAGTTACAGGATTTGAAAACCTGCAGGGGACAGACAAGGAGGCCAGCTCCCACACTGACACTCAAGACAGGCAGAGCTGACAAGGACGGTCAGGGTCCCAGAGCAGCCAGCAAACCCCAGCCCCCAATTCATCATTCTAGATTATTTCCTCCATGCTTGGCTTGGCATCAGACAGAATTGAAAATCATTAGTTTCAACTGATTTAATTATATCTGAACTCATCTGACGGGATAGCCCCAGACTCCAGGCACTGAAGTGGCGGAGTGTGTTTGTGTGCAGGGCATCTTGACAACTGTGTGATCTTTGGTACCGAAAAGGCAGACTTTCCCCTCACAACGCAGTGGGCAGCTTCAACGTTTAGGCCAGGATGGGGAAAGCAGCCCGAGGCCCTGGTCACTGCCCCCGGCTCCCAGGCTGTGTGCCACGCAGGTCCCCGTCCTCTGGGCCCCACCTTTTAAATTTATTCATTTTTTCTGAGACGGAGTCTCGCTCTGTCGCCCAGGCTGGAGTGCAAAGGTGCAATCTCAGCTCACTGCAGTCTCCGCCTCCCGGCTTCAAGTGATTCTCCTGCCTCAGCCTCCTGAGTAGCTGGGATTACAGGCCCAGGCCACCACGTCCGGCTAATTTTTGTATTTTGGTAGAGACGGGGTTTCAGAATGTTGTCCAGGCTGGTCTCAAACTCCTGACCTCAGGTGACTCACCTGCCTCGGCTTCCCAAAGTGCTGGATGACAGGTGTGAGCCCCAGCGCCCGGCCACAGCTGCACCTTTTATCTGAAGGTTTGGCACAGCAAACTGCAGCCGCCTCTGTGCAAGTCAAGACCAGAGACTCTAAGGTTGCAGGGTCCACGTGTGTCCTGGAATCAGCAGGGGCATCATGGGCGACCTTTACCCACACAGCTCATCCACAGGCTGGGCTCGGAATAACCAAAGCTGGCAAGTAAAACCTCCACAGCCAAGTGGCCAGACGGGCAAGTGAGAGACCCATCTACTCAGGCTACGTAAGACCAGCATCCTCGATAAGAGCCTCCCATGTTGTGAGAAGAAAACTCTCTAAGAATCAGGGTAAGGGCAGATGCAGTGGTTCACACCTGTAATCCCAGCACTTTGGGAGGCCAAGGCGGGTGGATCACCTGAGGTCAGGAGTTCAAAACCAGCCTGGCCAACATGGTGAAACCCTGTCGCTACTAAAAATACATAAATTAGCCAGGCGCGGTGGCAGGCACCTGTAATCCCAGGTACTCAGGAGGCTGAGGCAGGAAGATCGCTTGAATCTGAGAGGCGGTGCTTGCAGTGAGCCAAGATCACACCACTGCACTCCAGCCTGGGCAACAGAGCAAGACTCCATCTCAAAAAACAAACAGACGGCCGGGCGCGGTGGCTCACGCCTGTAATCCCAGCACTTTGGGAGGCTGAGGTGGGAGGATCACGAGGTCAAGAGATCGAGACCATCCTGGCCAACATGGTGAAACCCCGTCTCTACAAAAAATGCAAAAAAATTAGCTGGGCGTGTTGGGGCACACCTGTAGTCCCAGCTACTGGGGAGGCTGAGGCAGGAGAACTGCTTGAACCTGGGAGGCGGAGGTTGCAGTGAGCTGAGATCACGCCACTGCACTCCAGCCTGGTGCCTGGTGATGGAGTGAGACTGTCTCAAAAACAAAAACAAACAAACAAACAAACAAAAAAGGAATCAAGGTACTGAGTGTTGACTGTGGTCAGGGCTTCCTGATGGGAAGAACTGACAGGGAGACCCCGTGGTTCTAGAGAACCCGTGGCCAGAAGGTGTTCCCACAGCCAGAGGGTACAGTGCAAGCTACTCTGCCTCCGAGTCTCGGTTTTTCCCATGTCAAACATGGAGAAGCGGAGTCTGCCTCAAGTTCTGGGGATTAAGAAGGCCTGCCTGGAAAGCTCAGGACACCAGCCGGTGCCTGCAGGGGCCGGAGTGATGTTTCCTTGGGTGATAATTCCACCCGTGACGAGGCTGGCTTAGGAAACCTCCCAACGTAACTCCCCAAGCCTTTCCTGGCTCCCCTCCATAGCCCTCACAGCTGCAGGACCCCAGGCTCACGGCCCCTCCGTCCCAGGCCACAGTACCTTGAAGAGGTGGATGCCCACGAGCAGCAGAAGGTGCTGGAAGGCGGCAGCCCTGGGCTCTGAGGAGGGGGCCTCCAGCTCCTTCAGAGTCTGTAGCATCCTGTGGGGAGCCAGACGGATCCTCAGGCCCCGGCCGCCATCAGACTGTAGTGTCCTGCCCACCCCCTGGAAATCCCACCCACTCACCGGTCCCAGGCCTGGCGCTGCTGCGCAGTGAGGGGTGTCACGGGGGTCACGCTGTGGCTGTGATTCAGCAGCAGGTCTGCGAAGTGCACCAGGCGGTAGGTCCAGGGCTGCCCGCCCCGGGTCTGCTCCGATGCTGGCTTGAACTGTGTGCTGAGGGTCTGCAGCAGACTAGGCGAGGGGCAGGGCTTGGTCACCAGGCCGATGAGTGAATGCAGCCGGCTCCCTCTGCCCTCCCCAGGGCTCGGTCTCCCACCTCTCCAGGACCTGCTAGAACTCCCTGGGCCCCGGCCGTTGTCCCCCGTGTAGGGAACTGCAGGGAGCAGGCGTCCTCAGGACCTTCCCACCTTCGGACCTCTCCTGAGCCGCCCCAGGCTCACCTGAAGAAGGCGCTGCTGACGGCCTCTCGGGCCTGGCTTTCCAAAGGGAGGGAGAGCTGCTGCCTTGTCTCGGGGATCTGGGATGTGGGCTTCTTTGTGACGAAGAACGAGTGGAACAAACAAAACCTGGGGCGGGCAGGAGAGCAGCCAGCGCCGTTCAGGGCCATTTGTTTCCACGGGCTCCCCTCCCCGGATGACATCACTCAGGGTTCAAGGCCAGGAGGAGGAGGGGAGCCCTTCTGTCCCCTTCTGCTCTGGGTACAGTCCTCAGGGCCCTCACAGGCAAGGCTGGAGGTGGCTGGGCCAGGAAGGGCTGGATCCCCAGCTGAACACGGCTCAACCTGAGCTGGGGGGAGAGAATCGGTGCCCCTTTCAAGGAACCAAGAGACGTGAGGCTGTGTGGTCACAGCCGAGTTATGCCACTGCTCCTGCAAACACAGGGCCAGTGCAGCCCCCTCCTGCAACTGGGCACGCTGAGGGTGAGGTGAGCACCCAGCTCTGCTCGGGCACAGACGAGGCAGGTGTGGGGCAGGCTTCCCCGACGCCACCCACGTGCAAAGGCTCCCTGCAGGGCACGCACAGCACACCCGAATCCCTTAGGTGCCTGCAGCTGGGGTGCCTCCTGGGTCCCTTCCCTACAAGCTCCAGAGGAATTCCCAAGTCCCCTTGTGCCTGCTCCCCACTGATGACTCAACCCAAAGGCTTCTGGCTTTGAGGACACAAATCAGGATGAGTTGAGGGGCTCAATCCCCTGTCCACATGCCCGCGGGAAGCGCTAGCACCTCTCTTACCTGGCCACCTGCTCCGTCAAGGCCTCCTCCATCTCCAGGTGCAGGCTGTCCACAAGGCTCACCAGTCGGAGGATGATCCATTTCCTCAGCCGGAACACAGCTCGTTCAGGCCTGGGGTGCAGGGGCGAGGTCACATGAGCCACTTAGAACTGGCAAAAGCAGGCTGGGGCCAGTGACTCACACCTGTAATCCCAGCACTTTTGGAGGCCGAGGCAGGTGGATTGCTTGTGGTCAGGAGTTCTAGACCAGCTTGGCCAACATGGTAAAACCCCATCTCTACAAAAAATACAAAAATTAAGGCCGGGTGTGGTGGCTCACACCTGTAATCCCAGCACTTTGGGAGGCCAAGGTGGGCAGATCACCTGATATCGAGAGTTCAAGATCAGCCTGACCAACATGGAGAAACCCCATCTCTACTAAAAATACAAAAATTAGCTGGGCATGGTGGCACATGCCTATAATTTCAGCTACTTGGGAGGCTGAGGCAGGAGAATCACTTGAACCCAGGAGGCAGAGATTGCAGTGAGCTGAGATTGCACCATTGTACTCCAGCCTGGGCAGCAAGACTGAAACTCCATCTCAAAAAACAAAAATTAGCTGGGTGTGGTGGTGGGTGCCTGTAGTCCCAGCTACTAGAGAAGCTGAGGCAGAGACTCGCTTGATCGCTTGAACCCGGGAGGCAGAATTTGCAGTGAGCTGAGATTACACGCCACAGCACTCCAGCTTAGGCCACAGAGTCAGACTCTATCAAAAAAAAAAAAAAAAAAGAATGAACTGGCAAAAATAGGACATTCCTTTAACCTTTAACTGATCTCAAAGACAGAAACCAAGCTCTCCCCCTCCCAATTGCCAGTGTGGGACCTCACAAGGAAACTGAGGCCTCATTTGAGAGCTACGGTGCTTCCCCTCTCTCCGCTCATGGTTTAGAGCCAGGACACCGTGGGCGGTGGGGCCGGGGTCGCTGGGCTCTGCAGGCCAGGGAAGCTAGCTCTTGAAGGAGGGGTCCTTCGCACGGTCCACTCACACGTGCAGCGATGCATCCTGAGCTTTCTTCTGGTTGTTGGTGCTGAAGTCAATCAAGGAGTCCAGGTCCGGCTGGAGAAACATGTCCTGCAGCCAGGCCACGTAGCCCTGCAGGGCCCGAGGGCTCAGGAACCGCACGACCCGCCAGAAGGTAGGCACCACCGGGAGGCCGTGGTTGGTGGTGGTGGAGAAGGCCACCAGCACGGCCAGCTGCCGCTCAGGGTCATCCCGGCATCCCTCCAGGAAGGTGCCCACGTACTCCTCCATCTCCGGGGCGAACTTGAACTGGTTTGGGAGCTGTAAGAGTTAGGAACGGCACTGAGCCCATAAGTTTGCAGCCTTTAGGGTTAAACTGAGGCCCAGGGTCTTCCCTCGCACAGAGCAGGGCTGCGCCTGAGCTTGCTCCATTCCTGGTCACCCCAGTGCTTCTGTCTGGCGTCAAGGCCTCCCCAGGTCCAACTTCCCCAGCTTCAGTGTCTCTGGCCCCAGAAGGCCCCTCTTGCCACATTGCTGGGTGGGGATGGCCCGTTTTCCTGGCTCAACGCACAGGCAGAGCGGTGGTTAAGAGGCTAGGCTGACCCGGGTTCAAGGCCTACGCCGTCCATTCCTAGCCGTGTCATCTTCGGGACCGAACCCAGCCACCTCTCATGCGCTGCCGTGTTGCCAGGACCCGCGCTCCGTGTTTTTGTCTGGTAGCTTAGCATTTTAGCAACCCTTTGCACTTGGCCATTACTGCCATTGTGTAGGTGAGTAAAGTGAGACACAAAAACGCCCAGAATAAAACTCCTCAGGTCAGAGGGCTCCCAGTGGGACCACGTCTGGCCTCACAGCCCAAGCCCTTTTCATTTGAATTTTCTCCAGTTGTGCCCTTGGAGTGCAGTGCCACGATCACGGCTCACTGCAGCCTCCAATTCCTGGGTTCACGGGATCGTTCCACCTCAGCCTCCCGAGTAACTGGGACTACAGGTGCACGCCACCGTCCAAGCCAGGCTCTTAACCACTGCCTGATGCTTCAAGCCTGCCCCCTCACCCAGAGTGACGGCTCTTGGAAACTTGTTGCAAAGATAAAATGAGCTGCTGAGAACAGTAAACCCAGCAGTGCTGACTGGGCATCGGGCACACTGGCGCTCAAACAGTCATGACGACTGTTCTCGTCACCGCAACAAGAGTGGTGGTGGAGAGAGGTCTCAACAGCCCGCTGGCTACCCACACCCAAGAGGGGACCGCTCCTTTTCAAAACTGTCAGAGGGAAGCCGGGTGCAGTGGCTCACATCTGTAATCCCAGCACTTTGGGAGGCTGAGTTGGGTGGATCACCTGAAGTCAGGAGTTTGCGACCAGCCTGGCCAACATGGCAAAACCCTGTCTCTACTGAAAATACAAAAATTAGCTGGGCGTGGAGGTGGGCACCTGTAATCCCAGCTACTCAGGAGGCTGAGGCACAATAATTGCTTGAATCCGGGAGGCAGAGGTTGCAGTGAGCAGAGATTGCATCATTGCCCTCCAGCCTGGGCGACAGGAGGAAACTCCAACTCAAAACAATCTGTCAGAGGGGAAGGGGTTCAGGCAGCTCACTACCCAGACAGCGGGGACACCCAGGTCTCCGGCCAGGCCCCTGAGGTGCCCTCTCCCCTTCTTGGCAAGGAGAGCCCCTGCCTAGCCTTCCCGGCAGCATCGGGCTGCACGGGCGGTGCGCCCACCTTGGCCGTGCACGTGTGTTCTCCGTAATGGCGGATCACGTCTCCCCGCATCACCAGCTGCAGCTGCTCCTTGGTCAGCAGGGGCAGGGCGGCGCCCAGCAGGCGGAAACACAGGTAGCTAAGAGGGAGTGTGGGACCGAGCACGGTCAGAGCCCTTGGTCCCCCTGCAGGGACCTCAGGACTGGCAGCCCAGCCCCACTTCACAGACAGGGAAGGGGACTGAGAGAGGCCACGTGCCACACGCACCTGGCTGGCCAGAACTGCAGCTTCAGCAGCCCCTGTTCCACCACCCCCTTCCAGAACTGCAGAAACTTGTCTTCCTTGAGTGCCAGGCGGAGCAGCTCCAGAGCGACAGTGGGCAGCTTGCGCTCCTTCTTCACGGAGGACGCTGCCATCTTCAGCACGTTCACCAGCCTGTGGGGGGCAGGGGACTCAGGGAATGCTTGCGTCACCGGCAAGGGCTAGGGTGTCAAGAGCAGGAGGGGTACCCCCAGGCCACAAGGCCAATCTGGGCCTGGCCAGATGCAGTCCCACAGCCCCAGGGAGGGCAAATCCACCCACCTCCCTCACACCTGGGAACATTTTCATCCGAAAATAGGTTGACGGATCCCACCAGCTTCTTGAGCCTAGACGGCACCTTCTGCTGGGCCAGGAGGAAGAGCCCCAGCTGTTCAGGGCAGCTGAGCATCGCATCCAAGTCGGTGCTGAGGACCTCTGGCAGCATCTCCTGCAACGTGGCCTCCGAGACCTAAGGGTGGAGGGGTAAGAAATGGCGGCTTCCTCTGCAAGGTGAGCCCAGTGCGGCCTCTTTTACTTGCCAGGCTCTGACATAGGGCCACCTGGCCAGGCGCCAGAGTCATCAGAGGCCATTTGCTGAAAAACTCAAATTCCCAGGCAGCTGGGTTTTTGACAAGCATCCCGCTGATGCTAACCGGCCCGGAGTTACCTGCCTTTTTTTTTTTTTTTTTGAGACAGTCTTGCTTTGCCACCCAGGCTAAGTGCAGTGCTGTGATCTCAGCTCACTGCAACCTCCACCTCCCCGGTTCCAGTGATTCCCCTACCTCAGCTGGGATTACAGGTGTGCACCTCCACGCCCAGCTAATTTTTGCATTTTTAATAGAGATGGGATTTCACCATATTGGCCAGGCTGGTCTCAAACTCCTGACCTCAAGTGATCTGCCCACCTCGGCCTCACAAAGTTCTGGGATTAAAGGCGTGGGCCATGGCGCCTGGCCAGAGCTACCCATTTAATTATTCCTGGTTTCAGGATTTCAGAGGACTAGCCCATTTTATACATAAGGGGCCCTAGGTAGACAGCTGGGATTCGAATTCAGGTCCTTTTGGCTCTGAGATCAAGACTCCTCAGCACGCCCTGGCCTGGAACTTGCCAGCCCCTGCCTTTCTCTTCAGTGGCAAAAAGGTCTAGGTATACCTTCCCAAGCCAGGCAGTGGAGGCCCACAAGGGACCAGCCTTGAACAGGACAGCAACAGCAAACGTTTTATAGACCTGCCTCGTGCCAGGCTCAGTTCTAGAGCGGCACTAGCCACATGGGGCTGCTGAGCGCCTGAAAGGTGGCAATTCTGAACAGGGATGTGCCTACGTGTAAAATACACGCTGGATTTTAAAACACAATGAAAAAAAGAGTGAAGATACCTCAATGATTTTTTTTTTTTTGAGACAGAGTCTCATACCATCACCCAGGCTGAAGTGCAGTGACATGATCTCGGCTCACTACAACCTCTGCCTCCCGGGTTCAAGTGATTCTCCTGCCTCCTGAGTAGCTGGGACTACAGGCGCCTGCCACCATGCCTGGCTAATTTTTTGTATTTTTAGTAGAGACAGGATTTCACCATGTTGGCCAGGCTGGTCTCGAACTCCTGACCTAGTGACTGACCCACCTGGCCTTCCCAAAGTGCTGGGATTACAGGTATGAGGCACTGCGCCCTGCCAGCTCAACAGTTTTGTATACAAATGCATACTGAAATAATATTTTAGATATACTAGACGATGTAAAATGTTACTAATGACATTTTATATCATCTAGTATGTTGTAAATGTCATTAGTTGTAATGTTTCTTTTTACCTTTTTTTTTTTTTGTGAGACAGAGTTTTGCTCTCATATGGCTTGGGCTGGCTGGAGTGCAATGGCGCGATCTCGGCTCACAGCAACCTCCAACTCCTGGGTTCTAACGATTCTCCTGCCTCAGCCTCCCAAGTAGCTGGGATTACAGGCATACGCCACCATGTCTGGCTAATTTTTTATATTTTTAGTAGAGACGGAGTTTCTCCATGTTGGTCAGGCTGGTCTCAAACTCCCGACTTCAGGTGATCCGCCCATCCTCCCAAAGTGCTGGGATTACAGGTGTGAGCCACCATCGCTCCCAGCCACAAAAGTACCTTCTACAGCCCCTAGACTGCTCTGCTGAAATTCTCAATCACTGAGTTTTCTCTGCACAGCCTGGTCTGAGCTCCACTCAGGCTGACCCGGCAGGCCTGGGTCTTAACTGGCCCAGTTAAGACCACTACATGCCTGTAGTGAGATTACAGGCATGAGTCACCATGCCCAGCCTCTTTTTACCTTTTCAACAAACTCACTGAAACACTTCAAATTATATGTCTTTATATTTCTATGGAACAGTGCTGTTCCTGATTCTCATCTGAGCCCTCTTGATGTCTCTGTATCAGGAAATGCCTCCCGAGCCTGGACGGCTGGTGAGCTCATACCTCGGAGAGAATGTCCACCAGGGCCTTCCGGGGCTGCTCCTGCAAGTGGTTCTGGTGGTGGGCCAGGGCCTGCAGCAGCTTCACCGACTTCCTCAGCGCCTCCTGGTCCTGGTCCCCACAGAGGGACAGAGGGTCTGAGCAGGGTCCGCTACTGTCCCGCACCCATCCAAGGCCAGCCTACATCCCCCTGCCCTCCCAAAGCGCTCACCTTCACCAGCCGGCCTGACTGAAAGAGGGCGAGCACTCCGAACAGGTTTCCAAAGAGAGCAGGTCTCACCATTGACTAGAAAAGGAGTCCAGGCACAGCATGAGGGGCCGTGGGACTTGCCACCCCCAGCCTCTCACCCCCGGGGCTGCTGACCTTGCCGGGTCCACTCTCACCTTCTTCACCTGATGCAGGTCATATTTTTCTTGTATCTGCTGCAGGATGCTGCACAAAGGGAGGTCTTCAAAAGACTGTAACAGCTGCCAGGAGGAAGAGGGGATCAGGAAGGGGCCCAGTACATCCTCACACCTCACCCTCCCGTCCCCCTTCAACTCCTCCCAAGAAGCCTCTGGTGCCTAGTCGCACCCCAAGAATGCCTCTGAAGCTGCTCTCAGGGAAACGAATCTTGCCTCCCTGCGCCATCTCCACTAGGGTTTCCAAAGTACCGTCTGCAAGTGGTTCTCAGACTGGGCTGGGCCAGGGCAGTTTTTCTTTTTTTTTTGAGATGGAGTCTTGCTCCATTGCCCAGACTGGAGTGCAGTGTTGTGATCTCCGCTCACTGCAACCTCAACCTCTCAAGTTCAAGCAATTCTCCTGCCTCAGCCCCCAAAGTAGCTGGGGATTACAGGTGCGCACCACCACACCCAGCTAATTTTTGTATTTTTAGTAGAGATGGGGTTTCAACCGGTTGGCCAAGGCTGGTCTCGAACTCCTGACCTCAGGTGATTCATCTGCCTCGTCCTCCCAAAGTGCTGGGATTACAAGTGTGAGCCACCACCGCTCCCAGCCACAAAAGTACCTTCTACAGCCCCTAGACTGCTCTGCTGAAATTCTCAATCAGTGGGTCTTCTCTGCACAGCCTGGTCTGAGCTCCACTCAGGCTGGCCCGGCGGGCCTGGGTCTTAACTGCTCTTCCCCTTGCCAGGGCTCCTCAGAGAGTGGGCTACTCCAATCAGCTGAATGCCCCTGCAGGCCTAAGGGAGCCCACCCCACTCAGCGCTCACTGCTCCCAGCAAGTGTTATCTAAGAGGCCGGGTAACCCAAGCACCAGAAAGAAAACCTGCTCCGCTTTCCACTCCGCCTGCCTGGACTGCTTTGGAGACAGGCCTTGCTCACGCCTTCTTCACCTTCACGTGAGGAGGCTCCCTCAGGCTGGCCTTCAGTCAGCTCTTACACTCCCGACTTTTCTCTCGGGCTGCCCCTCCGCCGCGCTGAGACACCCGCCCTCCTCACACCCCACCGTTTTCACTTGAGTGGCTGGGATCCTGCCAGGAACACCACCTCACCTGTGCGAGGGCCAAACTGTAGCAGGGCCGGGCTGTTTCTCGCCCGACCCCGAGTCCCGTGATTAGCCGTTTCAGGGCATATTTCATCTCGGACCCCTACGGAACCAAGCGCACCCTCGTGTTGAACGGTGACAAGAAGCTGCACGCCCCCGCGCACCTTGGCATCCAGGTTCGCGACCACGTGCCCCCATCCCAAACCCCTGGGCCCAACGCCGCTTCCTTGTCGGGAAGTGCGCGGCCCCTGCCCCAAACCCGCCGCTCCACCTTCGGCCTAGCGCGCAGATACTCCAGCAGCTTCTCCGTGGCCGCAAGTCGCGTCTCCTGCTCAGGCTTCGCAATGTCCCAGAAGAAGTCCAAGAACTCGCGGCTGTGTTTCAACAGGCCGTGGCGGTCGGCAGGCCGGGCGCTGTTCTGCGTCGCGTCTCCGGGCGACAGGGGCTCGGCGGGTTCGCGGCTCCCCATCTCCGCCACACTCACAGAAACACGTGTGTCACGGATCCAGCCGCTTCCAGGTCAGGGCGCGGCGCATGCGCACTGGTTTTTTGAGTTGGCTCGGAGGGGGACCTGGGAGGGGCGGGGCAGGGGG